TGTGGGCCCAAAAGCGAAGATCCGATATATGAAAACAAAGAGACCTGGAATGAGTGCTAGTAGTGTAGGTGATGACAGTGGAATTGTCCAAGTGAAGCATTACCACTTTCCCTTCCAATAAAGCAAGACCCAAAGACATAGCTCATTGAACGGCTGGAAGCTCTAAGAGATTTATGTGGAGAGGAGATTCTTCATCTGTCCAGAGGCCCTTGAAGTCCATATCCCCTATACAAGCACCCCATTCCTGGAGAGAAGGATCTGTGAAAAGATGTATCTCTGGACATGGGGAAAGGAGGTTGGAAGATCGATCAGGTTGGAAGCCAATAGGGCCACTGAATAATCCAGCACATCACTGCAAACATTACATTGTTCCAATAACAACCACTGATGGGAATACATGTGGACCCGACCTAAAGGAATGAGTGATTAAAAAAATGTGCACATCCCCAAAATGATAGAACCATATGCAACAGTGAAGAAGGAAATGACTGTATTAGAAAAATGGCCCTATCCATGGCCCAAAAGTACAAAGCAGAAGGTTGGGCCAGAATGAGACAGGAAGTGAAAAACACTCCAAAACGGATGAGGTACTGTGTGGGAGTAAGAATAGACATCTCCATTTTGATGAAAAACCTAGTTCTGAAAGCTTCGGATAAGAGAGCTCAAGTGTGAAGTTTTTGCCAAGTGGCAGGAAGAAATGAGAAGAAGCCAATTGTCCATATAATGGTAAGTGTGAATGCCCAATGAGTGAAGATAATGTGAAAAGGATCTGACTATCCTGCAAAAGACGTATGAGGCAGATGTGAGGCCAAATGGTAGAGCACAAAACTGAAAGACGTCTCTCATGCACAAAGCAGAGTTAATGACATGAAGACTCCACGATCAAAATGTGAAAAGAGGCATTAGCAACATCAAACTTTGTTATCCATAGACCAGATGCCATGTGCCACAAAACTTAAAGAAAAGGTTCCATCATAAACTGATGAGGCTGGAGAAAAAGACTGAGACGAGAAAGGTCAATGATAGGTCACAAATCACCCGTCTCAAGAGAAAAGTCAACACACTCTACTGCCTCTTTGTGCAGAAGATCCTGGATGGCTTTTGCTAGATGACTGGATGTAAGACGATCCTTAGGGAGGGGAAAGACAACTGGTATGAGAGGCAACAGAGGAAGAGGCGTGAAATGAAGGACTAATCCTCTCATTAGAACTTGAATGACCCATTGATTTGTGGCGAAGGTCTCCCATACTGGCTTGAACCATCTGAGTTGAGCCCCCACAGGACCAGACCACATAGGGTAGTTACTGATGCCATTGTCTGTGCTCCACACAAGCAGAGGAAACCTACTGTTAAGTCAGAATCTCCCTTGTGTTCTGATAGAACATGGAGCCGATGTAGGAGGTCTGGAAACCTTAACGTGAGATGCAGGAAACCATCAAATAGAAGACCGGGAAAGGTGAGAGGTCATTGTCGAAAGAGAAGAGTAGAATCTGGAATACCTGTAAAAATTGAATGTCTGAAGAAAGGAGCTTCACAGAGATCTCCAAGGGCTGAATAACGAAGTTGAACTCCCTCAAGGAAGACATCTCTCTCCAAAAGATCCCAGTAACAAACCAACCAAGAGACCAAGGAGAGAGCAGAAGCTGATAATCTTACCAAAGTAGAAGTCAATAAATAATGACTAATATTCCTCAGAAAATTGAGCAGGAGACCTGTGATAGGCCTCAGACAACAGTTGCAAAGAAGATAAAACTGTTGTAAGGGACAGACAAATTCGGAAAAACTCAGGTTAAGACAAACAGTGGCATCAGGTCTAGTAACTCAAATAGGAAGAAGATAATCTAACCTCTCAGAATCTAAATAAGGGTTCTCCAAGCAATGGATAATTAAGGCATGCTGATCCCATTCTCAACTGATCAGCAAAGGTAGAAAGACCAGGTAATCAGCCAAATAACTTTCCCCCAGTAAAGAAGGAGAAGAGTCATAAGCTACAGGAGAAAAGCTCAAGACATTGCAAACTTTATATATTAGTTGCAAAAGTGGTACATGAGGCAGAATGTCTGTCCGAGGCTCATGAGTAACTGTCTGAGCAAAGGAAGGTGCTGGAAAAATAGAGCCCAAATTCTCACCAGTTTCCCCTTGATCTCCCACAAGCTCAGCCTCTGAGCCAACAGGAGAAAAAACATCAGACCTCATGTAAAACTCCAATACTCTGTGTATGAGGGACTGGTTATCCTCCACAGAAAGGGGCCCTCCCCAATACTTGGATAACGCAGAGGTGGCAAAGTAGGAGCACTAGACGTGAATTTGTGAATTGATATATTAAAATGTCCCTGAAATTGTTTTTTTTTTTGTAAAATAAACAAAATAGACAATAAGTCAAGAAATCAAGTCTAAAAACAGAAATTGTTAAAAGCGTAGTTAACAGCTATACAACTCACAGCAAGCACGTAAAACTGTCATCGTAATGTTCTGCCATCAAGAAAAGTGAATAGGAAGTAATAACTGGAAGCTTTTGTACTGATCTAGGATAGGAGTTGCATTGACATATGTGGAGAGAATAACAAGATTTAACTTGCTTTGGGAAATATAGTGGGGGTATAAAGGTTGAAGCAAGTGAGGTAAGATTCATACCAATGCTTAGATGGGCACAGAAGAGAAACTTTCATCGAGAACTCACTATTACAAGCACTATTACAAACTGCATCAGTAAAGTTGTCAGTAACATATTAGTGTGCACTATAAGGAATGGAGTCCTACCTCTCATTTCATATATTGTAAAGTGTTGCTAGGATATTTTAATCAGGAGTTTTTGTTGTAATTGTCCATCAAGTTTGCTTTAGTTTATTCATGCTTTTTAAATAATATAAATTTATAGGATAAAATAAGTGATCCTTTCTTTTTTCTCCCTAAGAGTGCTGTCTCATGTATTCATATTCCAATACCACATTCTCCTAATATAATATAATATAATGCAAGGTAAATAATAATAATGATTTTTCTGGATGAAAGGTGTGGTTCGATTATAAAAAAAAAAGTGTTAAAATGACAACAGAATTACCCGAGGTGTCTGAAGTTTTTCCTGGGGTTGATTCCGTCCACCACCTTCTTCCCTGACTTTTATAGATTGCAACAAGGGAAATATGTTCTTGGCAAAGTTCTGTAGCAAAAAAAAATTATATATAAAAGTTATTTTAAAGTAGGCATATTCAATATAAATATTTCATTGATTCAAGTCTAAAAATCTACACTCATGTAAACTGACATTTAAATATAATAAATTTAATATTCCAGATTCTTAATAGTAAAACCCTGATAATCCATAATTGTAAAATTCTGGAGATAATCACAGGCAAAATGGTACTCAATCACAAATGGACTTGGACGAAACAATTTCACTAGGAATGCTCACAGAGTAAATGTTACATTTTTTACAATTAAAAATGAATTTCACGGGTACTTACCTCTGAAATACTGAAAGCCTTTTCTTGTTGACTTTGAACTCATGCTGTCAACAAGACATATGACTAAAAATTTACAAATGTAATTCTCCACTCTCCCACCTGACTTATTGTGCAAGCATCAGAGGATTTTACATAAGCTCTGATTTTCTGTCATAATTTAGATTTATTGAAAGTTGCATTCATGATGAAATTTGGGTGATGGGAGGTTGAAAGGGAAGGTATTTCATAGGAACCTGTTTGTAATTAATTTTAATTCTAACAATGCAAACTGCAAATCTGATAGGCTTACCTCTGAAATACAGAAATTCAGAATACCCACAATGTGAAGGAGGAAGAAACTGATGAACACAAAAAGAAATTGAAAATAAAAAAACTAAAAGCTACAGGCAGAAAGATAATAATCTACACTAGAAAAAATATGTAGTCTCAGTAGAATCCAGAAAAAAAGAAAATAATTTGCAGGAGACAATGAGTGGAGCAGACAATCTTCATAAAAAAAACTAGACCTAAAGGACACACAGAAAGAAAGCATTCTTCTCAGCAACTTACCTCTTTGTCAATGACACTCCTTAATTCAGGCAAAGGGGTCAATTCTGTGAATGGTACACTGAATCTGTGGAACCAACAATGGAGCACAGATGATGGCATAAAAAGGTAGAAGGAATACTAAGTCCTGCTCCTGCAGGACAAGGTTCTCAGGCAAGCAGTCCATACACATATTATGAGAGAACATACTCAACAGGCAATAGCCCCTCTTCATCCATATTAAAAATGGCCAGTGAGTCATGCTCAGAAAGAATTGAAGAAACACCCAAGAAGTCCCCAAAGATGGACTCAATAATGTTAGGACAATAAAACAAGAACATCAAACATAAAGAAATGAGATCAAAAACAAAGATGTTCCCCATCGTGGTTGGAGCTGAGACATTTACTGATAACAGTAGCCTCATTTTTCAACATCTCTAATGCCACACAAGGATGAATATGTGAAGATGGGAAAGGTACCTGCTGAGGCATCATCAGCCACAAAATGGCATCCTCTGTCCACTTTCAAGTAGAAATCTGCAAAAGTTAAATAAAATACAAGAGTCCTGACTGGACAAATCAATACAAACAAATACCTGATACATAAGAAGAAACTGTACTTGATAATTGCATATTTCTTTTTTGGTATTGTTTGTTCTGAAGTCAAAGTTATTCACAATCCCAAACATCATGAAAATAGTTAACAAAGGGTATCAGACAGAATGGCAAAATGTATAAAAACTCACAAGAGACAGATTACATCTAGCCTAAAGAACAGCCATAAGTGGCAAATGAAGATACAATTATGTGATGTGGGTAAAATAAAAAAAATTTCAGATTTATTCCCACCAGCCTGTAAGATGTCCACTAAAGGGTACAGAGACCAGGAGGCTAAAAATATTGCCAAATGGTGAATATGATGAAATGTAACCTAAAATCCATGCTTATATTAATCAGGAACATTATGATTAACAGGACAGATGAGCTACACAAACCAATTCATTAATGAGAATAGAAGAAGATCCGTGGAGCAAGAATCAGGGTCAGAGAGAGTAGGTAACACAATATGAGAAAAAACAGTAGTCATCATCTCTTGCAGCCCATGTTTATGGTAGGAAAGCTCTATCAGTAATAAGTACAGAACTTCCCTGGAAAATATAAAAATTCTATAAAAAGCATCAATGGCAAAAAAAAATTCTGAACATTTCCCTCCCTGAAGTGAGTAACAAAATGAAATGTGTCTTCAGAGAAAAATGATACAAGTTGTGAAGGGTGCAAAATGAAAAGCCAGGTAACTTAGGACCAGATTTAAATTCCTCTGAAAATAATATCTAGATGCTTATGAGAACCATAATCAAAATCTTGAAAAAGAGCTTGAAAAGGAGTAGGGCTGATACAGGCATATGAAATTTTTATTTGGTAACTGAAAGCGACTGAGAGTGCAACTCTCTAGTGTGCAATAAAAGCAAGCAAGCTCTGGTCATGAAAGAGATAAATAAAAAAAGAAGAACCAGGCAGTTAAGGAGTTGGAGAAGAACATGAAACTGTATTCTGCAAGCCAGAAAATATACCAATGAGATTGGTATACTGCCGGGGAGAAGCATCTTTAAGACTGTGACAACATTTCAGCTACCCAAGGAGAGAAGCCAGATTTACTAACAATGATTGATTAATAGCCAATCATGATACAGTAAACAACAAACATCGTTGTGCAAGATGTACTAAAAAAATAACAGTATATTATTCATCTGAGACTGGCAAGAGAAATGGAAACCATGATGTGGCAGGCCATCGTAGAGCAATAAAAAGAACTGAAAAATGGAACCAACTGACCTTAGTCACTACCTGAGAAACAACTTGAAGAAGAAAGTAGGCATGAAGAAAAAATTTTCCCAATATCGGTTCAAAGTTAGAGAAGCTGGACCCAATACTGGAAACCAATAAAGCATCAAAAAATGATACTCTGCTGTCATTAATATATCAAGCATAGGCTGAATGAACCATTGGCATAGCCAATGAAATACTAGCTCAGAGAAAGAAATGATGTGAATGCAGCTGAAAATTACAGAAACAGCAGCAAACAAAGGTTATGAAATCAAATCTCACCCTATCTGTTGATATATGTCAACAAAGTCTAAGTATCTTTCAGTGCTAAAACACAGCAATGGTGTAACTGGGTTAGGAACTCCTGACATTAACATAGAACAGCCCAAATATCTAGTAAATAATATGAAAATGGGATATCTTAGAAGACTAGAGACTCAAAATATAATGGTACCCCCCAACAAACACCCTATGTTAGTACAGAGGCATCTTTGAATAAATCCAAGACCAGAAGAGGTGGTAGAAAAATGAAACTTACAACAAAAAACTCATGAATGAGCCCACACTTGAAGGTAATTGAGAATATTAGGAGAAATTCCAAAAGACAATAGGTCTGAGGATAGACCAAGCAGGAGCAAGATCCCATTGACAGTATCTAAAGTAATCACTATCTAAGGGAGTTGCCATGCAAAGAGAAACCATTATTCCCAAATAAGAGGATGTATTTGGCAGGTGTAGAAGCATACACAACAAAAACCCAAGAGATTGCAAAACCAATGGAAATGGGTGTAGAGTTCCTGAGAGATTATTAATGTGAAATCTAACATGACTGAGATAACAAGTAGGCACAAACTGTGACTTGGACTAGTGAACAATCCATCCCGAAGAAAAAGCTAACTGGAATGTCAATTCATTGCAAGGCAACCACAGAGTAAAATCCTCTTAATCATCCTTGTAATGAGAACAGTCGATACTGAGAGCATTTAGAAGACCAGCTAATGGTTTGAATACATATGTGAAGAAATAAAGTGCTAAAACCAGACTAAAAAGAGAGATCCATAAATTGGGAATGAAGGTCACATTATAATGCTCCCATGGCCAAAAGGGCAAGTATATTTGGTGAGAGTAATTTCAACCTGCAACCCACAGATTGCAACTCAAGTGTCCTAACTAACAAGCCATGCCTGGCTTTGTTTTATTATACCAAAACAGGTTTAGGTTTACCTGCATCTAGATGCAATACTTCCATTCTTTTTCAAAATATTAAGAATTACCTACAACCCTCTGGCATTCTCACTCATTAATAGAGATTAATAAGACAATTAATTTACAAATTCTTTTATAATTATATGACAGATGAAATAAAATGTCTATTAATAAATAAAGTTAACATTTTCCTAAACTGAAAATGTATTTTCAACAGATACTTACCTCCACTTACAAAATAGCTTTTCTCAATTATTATTGCCCTCTATCAGTGCAAATTTTCAATGCTCACAACTAGCTTTCCACCTCTTGTTTCTGCATGTCCACCTGTAAATGATTATGCAGCAGCTCTCCACCAATAGGAGCATGACACAACCCCTATCGTAACCAGCACCCTCTCCACATTGCACTCGTCTTTTATGACTGTGTTGCAAACATAAAAGGTGGAAAAACCTAAAGGAATCCCATAATACGTATTACCTATTAATGGGGCCCGTGAGTGTCAAGGGGCTAGGGCATGACAGACTGTAGTGGTAGTTTTCAACCTCATCAATCACCAGGCAGTATCTGTAATTGTACATCAGTTCTACAGTAGGCAAAGGATCACCTACTCCTTCACCTCAAAATGGGAATTAGTAGGGAAGGTGAGTTTTCATACCAAAATCTATAAATCTGTCTCCACTTGCATGCTTTTCCAACCCAACCAAAATATGATCCACCATAAACCAACATCCAGTTGATGGTAGGAAAGTAGAAAGCCCCAGTGGGATGACATCTTGGTCCAAAACCTGGAGGCATTGGGTATGCATCTTCCAGTCCACACTGGGAGAAGGATACCCAACTGTACACAAGTGGGAATACTTGTGCTGTGTCCAGCTACAATCATTACCAGATACGCAGGGATCCAACATCCAGCAGATGGTAGGAAGATGGACCACAAACCAGGGGTGCATCCAGTCCACAATAGGAGGTGGAATACCAGCCAGGACTTAGCTGAACCATCTCCGACCAACACATGACCACCTTGAGAACCACATCTGTACGATGGTAAGTATTTGGAACATCTCAGCCTGAGAAGCAAACTGCAATATATATAGTCGTGACATGGCAGATGGCTTCAACCAAAATCTGCCAGCATCTGGAATTGTATGGAGCTCATACATTTTAATGTATGCAATAGAAATTTCTAAAATTTAAAGGTTAAAGTAAATATCAACTAACAATGTAATAAATTTTTGGTTATTAAGACAAAAACTGACAAAATCCACTTTCAATGCCTTGAAGTCAGGACTATAAAATATTGGATTTAAAATTGATTTCCATCTCTTACATGAATCCTGTTACAATAATTTTTTACACCCAGTAAAAATTTAGCCTAATCAAAAGGGAATGACAAACTTATTTATTATACCTTTCCAGCACTCTGTAAAATTACAGTCCTAGTTCGCCACTGTCTCTCTCTACTGATTATATCCTTTGTGACATCAACATCATACTCCAAAATACCCTGATAATCTGGAATTCCCAAGCCATTGTCATCATCTCCTTTAATGGTTGCTCTCTTTTTGGCCAGACGTTTTGCTTTGATGGCTGCAATTCTCTCTACTGACATAGCTTCCAAAAGTCGAGATCTGCAATTGTTTTTTACATACTCAGTCTCTAAGATTTCTTGATTGCAAAAGAAAATAATTATAATCTTTTAAATAATATTCAGTTCACAGTACATTATGAGTGACATACAATTTAATGAAAAATAATTACCTTCTGCTGTTCAGGGAATGTACTTTGATAAAATGACAAATGATGGTTATATGTCACTTCTCAAAATAGGAATAAAAATTTTAATTGATTACTGTTTATGCATTTTTACTTTTGATGAATAATGTTGGTGGTTGATACAGAAATTAATTTACACTTGGGGCAGTAGAAAATACAATATTTATATATGGGCCTATTCTGTAAATCTATATTTCCAAGAACTTTTTTATTAACACTGGTTTCAAAAAGAGCTCTAAGTGGTGGGCCATACTATACTTCAATAGTGCTACTCCCACCTGAATATAGGTGACCTGAGTTAGAACAAACTAAATCCATATTGCTCATAATTTTTATTATTCAAACTAAAAGGTCACAAAACTTAAAGGGAAAATACATGTCGATCAGATCATCAAAAGGTGTGGCACAAATATTTTCAAAGTGTTTTATGAAGATTGGAAGCTGATCAAAGCAACTGACTTTCTTCATTGTGAAAGAAAGCAGGTTTAAGCTGCTTTAAGGCAAGTAACGTGCTACCAGGAAAAAGTTAGTAGTAAAAATTATTTTTATGATTGCCTTCCTTTCAAAAACTGTTAATAAATAAATTTTAAAAAGTATAAATACAAATATTATATTGACAATAAGAATCACAAAAATTTTACAATAAACAAATTGTTCATATTGGTTAAATGAAAACATTGATGGAGTAATTATTTTTTCCCTTACAGCAATTTTAACTATTTCACTGTATTAGAAGATTGCATAAATTTCACAATTTGTGTGTAAGCCTACATATGAGTACAAGATGCATACTGTTTTGGTCAGAACTGCATGTGGATCCCTTGGCAACATTAAGTACATGTCAAAGATACCAAACTCAAACCTCAGTGATAGTCGATCAAGCATGATTTTATTTTTTTCCCAAAAGTTTTATCTTGTAGCATATAAGTTGGGAGTGGATTAAATAAACACATTTTCATTAAATAGAATACCTAACTGAATAAAATAAATAGCTACCTCTAATATCCAAAAAGACTTAAGACATTAATAAAGTTCCTACTCTTCATCAGTACCTAATTTGTTCTGTCGTGACAGAAGATTCTTTTGGAGCATCCAATCTTGCTGCAAGTTGTTCCTTGGCTCTCTGAACCTGATCTTCCTGATATATCATAAAAGGCAACAATTATATAAATGTGAGTGTGTGTGTGTATACAAAAAATACAATATAACCACACTCAATATACATAGTTTTATAACAGCAAATTTGTTACCTATTTCCTATATGAATAATAAAGAATTCACTTTTTGGATTTCAACTTGTTCTAAATTCTTCAAAAAACAAACTAACTAAAAACTTGCTGCAAATAGTTTAATCTTAATGAAAATGCTTTAATAATGTAATGGGATTATGTGCTTGGTTATATACCATTTAAACACAAATGTGCAATACATCTATAATAATAAAAGGGCATGTCTGTCTGTGTGTGACCACCATAACTTCAAGAGAAAAGAAAATAGAAACCTGAAATTTTTCACACATACTAAGTGGACCATGAGTGTGTGCACCTGGGTATTATTATTTATTTTATACATGTGAGTATAAATCACAGACAAGACACGCAAGTGCGAGCACATCTTTTTAATGAGGCAGTCTAGCAAAAAACCACATAGAAATGAAATGGTTCCTTATATAACAACATCTAATATATAGAAAAGCCAGTACATTTTGGTAACAATGGCTTTTATATCATGTTGCTTAGCAATAAAAGTATGTTTGTATGTACAACCATTATGCTTTATAACTGAGAACCTGCTGCATAAGCATGTTTCCCCAAGAAAAACTGTGCATGCACATTATTCACTCGACGACAAACAGTGTGCCTGGGGTAGAGAGCTGCAAAGCTCAGTGATCAAGTCACTACAATTGCTATATGAAACACAAAGTAACAACAAAAGGGGAATGTAAATATCCTTCACTAACCATTTTGTACAACAGAAATATTAAAAACTTTTTAAAGTTTTAAAAAAAGGTTTGATGTTAGGTCGTAGAATAACATT